ATTCTACCTCTCTCTTCTCTGTCTCTCTCTCAGTCTCTCTCTCTGTCTCTCTCTCTGGTTCTCTCTCTGTCTCTCTCTCTGTCTCTCTCCTCTGTCTCTCTCTCCCTGTCCTCTCTCTCTGTCTCTCTCTCTGTCTCTGCTCTCTGGTCTCTCTCTTCTCTGTGCTCTCTCTCTGTCTCTTCTCTCTCTGTCTCTCTCTCTCTGTCTCTCTCTCTCTCTGTCTCTTTTCTCTGTTTCTCTCTCTGTTGCTCTCTGTCTCTCTCTCTGTCTCTCTCTCTGTTCTTCTCTCTTCTGTCTCTCTCTCTGTCTCTCTCTCTGTCTCTCTCTCTGTCCTCTCTCTCTGTCCTCTCTCTCTCTGTTCTCTCTGTCTCCTCTCTTCTTGGTCTCTCTCTCTGTCCTCTCTCTGTCTCTGTCTCTGTCTCTCTCTCTGTCTCTCTCTCTGTCTCTTTCTCTCTTCTGTCTCTCTCTCTCTCTGTCTCTCTCCTCTCTGTCTCTCTCTCTCTGTCTCTCTCTCTCTGTTTCTCGCTCTCTGTGCTCTCTCTCTGTCCTCTCTCCGTCTCCTCTGCTGTCTCTCTCTCTCTGTCTCTGCTCTCTCTGTTCTCTCTCTCTGTCTCTGCTCTCTCTGTCTTCTCTTCGTCTGTCTCTCTCTCTCTGTCTCTCTCTCTCTGTCCGTCTCTCTTCTGTCTCTCTTCCTCTCTGGTCCTCTCTCTCTCTCTGTCTCTCTCTCTCTCTGTCTCTCTCTCTTCTTGTCTGCTCTCTCTGTCTCTCTCTTCCTCTGTCTCTCTCTCTTGTCCTTCTCTCTCTGTCTCTCTCTCTCTTGTCTCTTCTGTCTCTGTCTCTCTCTGTCTGCTCTCTCTGGTCTCTCTCTCTGTCTCTCTCTCTGTCTTCGTCTTCTGTCTGCTCTCTCTGTCTCTCTCTCGTGTCCCTCTCTCTCTGTTCTCCTCTCTCTGTCTCTCTCTCCTCTCTGTTCTCTCTCTCTCTCTGTCTCTCTCTCGCTGTCTCTCTTCTGTCTCTCTCTCCTGTCTCTCTCTCTGTCTCTCTCTCTGTCTCTCTCTCTGTGCTCTCTCTGTCTCTCTCTCTATTATTATTGATATCTTGGGAAAGGATTTATATAATTTTTGTTGGAAGTTGGAGTGGATTAAGAATTTGGGTAAAACCATATTTTTTCCAAGAGTTATTTTACACAAAGTGCAAATTAATGTAATGTTCAATATGTATGTTTTTTGTGTATTCATAAATAAATTGTTAGTTGGTGTACAAAATTTGAGAGTTTTGCATCTCAACACATGAATAAATTTCTTGTTTCAGAATGGTGGATGTGGGAGGTCAGCGATCAGAAAGAAGAAAATGGATTCATTGTTTTGAAAATGTCACTTCAATCATATTTTTAGTTGCACTAAGCGAGTATGATCAAATTTTATTTGAATCTGAAAGCGAGGTGAGATATTTGCCTGTTTCTTGTTATAAAATACTATTTTTTAGAAGCAATGATGATTCATTTATTGCAGTGTAAAATTGTTAATATGAGCCTTCCTTAATTTGCAGAATCGAATGGAAGAAAGTAAAGCCTTATTTAAGACTATTATCACATACCCATGGTTTCAACATGCATCTGTTATTCTGTTCCTTAACAAGAAGGACCTACTGGAAGAGAAAATAATGTATTCGCATCTGGTGGATTACTTTCCAGAATACGAGGGTAAGATATGCAGTTGGTAATGTTGGAAGTTCTTGTGTGAATACATATTAAATTTTCATATGTATAACATGGCAAAACAGTAGTAGAAAGTTTTTAATAAAATGGTATAATGAAGTGGAAAATTCAATTCTGTAGCATAGAATTTTTGTGTTTTTTGGTGTGATATTCATCAAAGGATGTTTTGTAATAAATTTGTAGGAAAATTTTAATTTAACAACAAATGATCAGATAAAAGTAAAAGCAAGACATCAATTTTATGAAATTAATGAAATACTAAGTTTTTAAATGTCACAAATTGTTCCCAAATTGTGAAGTGTTATGCTTTCATTTGATAGTTTCTTAAGAACAGCAAATATCAGAGAGTAACTAAATTTTTGTTTTGTTTTGTTTGAAAAAATATTTTAAAATGACCATTATCTAATGTGCTGTGGTGAAAGCAAAAAATTCCATTTTATTAGTACTTTAAAAAAGAATTTCTTAATGTTATTTACAGAATTTAACTTGTTTTTTGCCATCATAACCTTGGTAGTTTGTATATTTAATCAATTTTAATGTTTCACGTTACATCAATTTAGAAAACGGGTAAATTGGACAATTTGTGAATTCATTCTGATAAGATTTCCTGTACCATTATAGGCCCTAAGCAGGATCACATTGCAGCTCGGGAATTTATCTGTAAAAAATATATATCTCAAAATCCTGATCCTGACCGCAGCTGTTATTCGCACTTCACAACAGCGACAGGTTGTGTTGTTTCTTTTTTTATTTGTCTTTAGTACATTTGAAGGAGCTGCAATCCTCACTGTAGTTCGAAAGGAAACCCTGATGTAGTTCATGTATGCTTCAAAAGTTTAAAACATTCAGGTAGATGGTAAGACATTTGCCGTGTTAACCTGCTGAAACCTTATTTGAAACAGTGACACTTGCAGTTTCAATATGCTGAATAAAACATTCTTACAAATTAGTTTTCTTGCAATTGTCAGAAATGACCATTGATTTTTCTACACTTTTCTGTGCTGAATTTTCTCCTATTCCATTTGTTATTACCCATATACTTGTGTATACAACAATGTTAATTCTAAAATTAATTGTCCTTTACTACAGTAATTAAAATTTCAGTAAAAGTAATTGCCATAGATAGACTGCAGGTATCATGTTTTAGAAGTAGCTCTATTTTATGCTAAAGTCTAACCTGTTTAAACATTGCAGTTTCTTATAAGTAAATTGATTTATTGCTCTTATCACATCAACAGTAGTTTTAGGACTACAGTACCATGTATAAGTTGTGAAAATGAAGCAGAACTGATGTGTATAATATAATGTAATTGTAGTGTATGCATCTTTATAACAATACTTGAGTATTTCACCCCATTTTGGTTGCTGAAGAACATCTGTGAACTACTATGTAAAAGTAGTATACAAAACTGTAAATGTAAGCAAGTATTTTGGATACATTTATCTAAATGGCAATTCTCAGTTATGTCAGGTATACACAGTTACAGTAATTCTCTCACAGTTGTGTGCTTAGTATTGGCAAATTGCTTTCTAAAATTATGCACAACATATCGCACCCCCAGTGGAAGACTGCCACAAGTGAAAATGAGCAGTTTTTCAGAAGCAGCATGTAAAGATCGTGAGACTAAATAAAAAAATAATAAACATTATTTTAAGAAAGTGACAATAATGTATATTACTGTTTTAACATTCTTTAATAATATACCATAAATTACAAATACCTTGGGTTGACTATGCATAAGTTTCAAAAAATTTAAAAATAATCGTTTTGAGTTATGGGAGTTTTCTACTCAGTATTCGTTGAATTGGTATGGAAGAGATACCTGCAATATTGCAGATACAGTGAATACACATTTTTCACTATTTCCATTATTTTAGTGGCTACATTTGTAAATCTTTATTTAACGTTCAGTAAATGATTTAAGAATTGGAACTAAATACAAAATTATTACCAGTTCTATGTTGCAACGTTTCACAATCGTTTGAGGTTTCTTTAATAATATTTCTATAATAGTTATAAAACTGGGAAGGAATCTCTTTAGCATCACTTAAATTCACTAAGTCCTTCTTGGCCTTAGTTATGCTAGGGGGTTTCTTATAAGCCTTTTGCAAACTTAAGTATCCTGATTGAGAAAGACCGCTGCATTTTTTGCCTAGTGTTGATCTGCTGGAACTCTTCACCATAACCAGTTTTATATTGTAGAATGAATGGTCTATTTTTCCTTACTTGCATCACCTTTTGTTGGTCCATACAACTTTTTCTCCATGTTCATTCTTGTTGAAGTGTCTACCAATTTGACTGACTAAATGTTTCAAGTAAAGAAAAAAAATGTTGTCTTGTGCTTGACTTTATATGGATTTCTGTTCTTCTTAACTGTGTGTATGATTGTATGCATGCGATGTGTATTAGAAGTAAACAGCCAAAATTAAGATGTCAGTCTTCTTCTAGTTGAATAGTTCAGAATCGTGTGAGACGAAAACTGAATTACTTGCAGAAGAATGGTCATCTTTGAGTTGAGATGTGGCCTTTTCCAGGATACTGACTTCAGTAACAGGCACTTTAACCACAAAATAACTTGAAATTAATTTTTTCACACTTATGGCATTCTTCCAGTGGGGGTGCGATATGTTAATTTGTAAATGCCATGTTTTGAGCAAAAAATGGTAATTTTTGTATGTCTGTAATACTAATACACCATCATTGGTTTATGGGAGGTCTCAATGTGTATTCATAATTCATTCTTCAACATGAGTCACATATAGTTCCTCTCATTTGAGATATAAGAATTAGATGATTTCTTATTAAAGTATATTGTGTGGGAGTGTTTTTTTTTTTTTTCTTTTTTTGCAGACTTAAGCATTGTGAAAGAGAATCTGAATTGTACATGTCATTTATTTGAAAATATGAGGATGTATGTTTGTGGCAAGTAATGCATTCCATTTTGGTTTTTAATAGATGGAAATTCAATTTTCACCTCTATTTTGTTTTTTGTTATTGTTACAAAAATTGTTCAAACATTTTCAGTTATTGTAATTGGATGTGTAAATGAGTATACAGTGGAATGCATTCTCTTACCATTGGATTTACCAGCAATTTAATCTGTCATTTTCAGAATCCCTCTGCATTGCAGCTTTTTGTGTGATTTGATATCAGTCTTTGGGAGTGTAAAAAGTTGTAGATGGTTTGGTGCAGAATATGCCTCTGTTGCAGGACCACAACGAGATGCTATTGCAGCACGAGAATTCATTCTGCGTATGTTTGTGGAACTTAATCCAGACAGTGAAAAGATTATCTATTCACACTTCACATGTGCCACAGGTATTTAGAAATCTGCTTGCATGTCCAACGTTATGCTGCATGGATTTCAATGGATAAGCTTCTTCCACTAACTCTACTCACCGATTTCTCATTGTCATATTTTGTTTACTTAATTTCTGAAAAATAGTGTGTTTCAGGAGGAAAGTCTATTTTTGCCTGTGTCTGCTTGGTGATTGGTGCATGTCAAACAAATTTATTTCAGTTGGTATTTTTCTAAGAATGATACACTCAAATGATTTTGCAGTCTTTGGTGATAAGTGGAAGTGAATAAATATTTTGTTTCCTGTTGTGCTTACACTAAAAGAAGAGATTTAATATACTCGTAGAATTCAATAATTGATAATTTAATCTAAGGTTCTTAAAAATTCAGTGAAGTCGATGAACACTTGTTCAGTGGAGATCATTGAAGAAAAGTAGGTGATTTTCTCTTGTAGTAAATATAGACTTTTGAGAGATTTAATAAAAATAATTTTTAAAAAAATTGAATTTTCACCCTTTGGTTGATGTGCTGAGTTCACATCATCTTGCAAGGAAAGGGGATTTGTATTATTTTTAGTTGTAGGCCAAAACATCCATTTGAATAATTTAAAAAAAAAAAAAAATTTACATGCATTTCTATGTTCTCAAACCGGTAGTAAGTGTTGATTTTGCAACAACTAAATTAAATTGTTTGCTATTTCAATTATTGTACCATAATTTATTACCATAATACATTAATTTTTTCCCCCACCTTAAACCATAAATGTGCGTAAAATGCCCTTTTCACAAGTTGGAAAAACAAACTGTTTTGATGTTTCAAAATGGTTTTGGGATTTGATGAAAGTCTAAATTCATTACTATTTTTGTAACCTTACATAAACATTACCAATGTTTTCTTGTGGTACAAAATATTTTCAAATATAATGCTAACAAAGTATAAGTGTGTTTGTATAAATTACAATGTGAGATTTAAATACTTATTTTCCTCAAAGAAATCATTGGGAGTTTTGTTTATTTGCTATACAACATTTTCACATAAATCTGAAACAAAGAAAGCCCCCAGTAATTGCATTTTGCAGGTAGAACCACCAAAGAATGTTTTATTATGAAGAATGTTATATTTGAAATATTTTTCATTTCTTTCATTCCTCTTTTGTCATCTATTTTTGCTTCCCGCTTTTTGTTCTTTCTCTTCTTTTTCTTTTACATTTTTTTCTTTCTCATCTTTTACATTTTCTTGTTTCTCATCTTTTACAATTTCTTGTTTCTCATCTTTTACAATTTCTTGTTTCTCGTCTTTTACATTTTCTTGTTTCTTGTCTTTTACATTTTCTTGTTTCTGTAATGCTGTAAGAAATGGAAGAATGACAGAGATTACTATTAACCCTAGGTCTTCTATCAATGGGACACATTATCAGAATACTGAGATCAGAAATATAAAGAATATTGTTACTTGTCAGGAGGATTATTTTCCGTTTCAAATAATAGAAAATTTCATGTCTGTCCTAAGGTTTCTTCAGGGTGTGATATCTGGCTTTTGTGTCTTATGTAATTAAAGTATATGCAACTTCATTGCAAATTGTAAAATTCGACAGGTCATATTCTCACAACAGTTTTTTTAGTGTCCACTGATATTACTATTTTTCTCTGAATCAAGTAGTGACTGCTTAAGTCAGATTTCACTGTACAATTCTTTTCTGTGGAAAATTGAATGTTCCAAAAGAACTAGAAACAAGGTCCCTTTTTATTCCCATGTAGATAATGAAATATATAAAAAGTATTCATGTCTTTACATTTAAATTCCTAAATGAACTGTTAGTCCAAATTTAGGAGTTTTCGAAAAGCATTTTGGAAACAATATGTTTTTAATGTAGATGTGTGTAAGCAAAGAAGCACAAAAGATTCTTACCTTTAAATTTTCCATGATATTGTACAATTTTCATAATTCTGTACAATCTTCTACAAAATTTACAATGATATTGTTGGTAGTCTTAGAACTTAACCTTTTTTTCTTCTAAAAATTTTACTAATTTTTTTTCTTTCTTTTCAGTTTGCTGGTACTGAAATATTATGTTTGTTGCTTTGTGTGTTATGATATAGTTTCAAAACTTTGATGTTGTATTTGTTCCTGTGGGTTTTAGTGTTTTTTGTAATGTGAATAATTCTTTGTGCATGCTTTCATTGTGCATGGATTTTTGCATGAACTTGTGAATGCAGATACAGAAAATATTAAACTTGTGTTCTGTGCTGTCAAGGACACTATTATGCAAAATGCGTTGAAAGAATTTAACTTGGCATAAATATGAGTTATGTAGATATGGTAAAATGAATAGGGTATGTATGAGTGTATGTTAAATTTTTTATCCTGCAATGAATTTATATTGAATGTATGTTATCTGATCATTGGCATTAAATACTGAAAAGAGTGGAAGCTCCAAAGTTTTTCAAATAACTTTCTAAACTACTATTGTACAGTATTGTTTTACCCTTTTCAATTGAGCTCTACAATAACTGTTGGCTTATTCTGTTGTCTTTGGTCCTTTGACAGAAATGGAGTTATAAGGCAATACGTGACTGATAAAAATTATAAGAATCTCCAACAAACTTAACGGTTACTGATAGTTGCTGTCACTGAAAGACTGAAGGCGGTAGAGATTGTTTAATCTCAATTTTTGCTAAAATGGGGAATAGAACTTGACCAATCTCAAATACAATCTCTCATTACAATTACGTACTGTATTTACCCGAATATGAAGAGTTTTTTTCCAAAGTATCTCAGTCAAAAAATGCAAGGTCGTCATATATTCGCAGATTAAGCCTAATCGTTTGGGATTTATGTTTTTACATTGTCATTCAATGACACAAAACTCTTAAATTTTGACATAACAATAAATAGCAAAGACTGAAAATATCACGTATATCTACAATATGTAATTATATTTGTGTTCGTATTCTTGGCATCAACTGTGAAGTTGTCCAGCAATTCTGGCATATTTTTGAATGGGCTGGTAAACAGAATGGCATTGTATGAAATGAACCATAAAGTGAAAACGAATGCTGAGGGTTTGTGACCCTATGCGGGTTTGATGAGGCCATGCGTAATCTCAATTAGACACCCGATGAATGCGAATCTGTTTTGAACAGAAACAGAGGCCATAAAGTGCAGGACAGTTAGAAAAATCTGGCAACAGAAGAGAATGATCTTAGACGTCATCTAATAAAAGACTGGAACTTTGAACATTGCAAATTTAGTGCACAAAACCATCAAGAGGGGCCTAAAAAGTCAGATGACATAGCATAGCTGGAAGTCTAAAAAGAAAGACATTGATACATGTGAAGTGTTGAGAATAGTGACAAAAGCCATGATTATGATATGAAGGAACAGGAAAATAGTAGTTCAGCAGTAAGTCTTTAACATTGTTATCAACATGGCAATTTTCTAGTCGATAAGACATTTTGTTATTTTATTTTGATTAAATAGTAAGAATTAGTTAAAAATTAAAAAATTTCTGAGGAAAAATTCTCAATTCTCGTCTTGTCGGTTGACTTATTCGGGTAAATACGGTGGTTCACAGAACATGAAATATCTGAGAACAATCTCAAATGACTTTCTGTATGTTGGGTCAATTCATGATTTTTTAAAGTTTTGACAGGACCCTCGTTTTAGATAAAATAATTCTTCATTGAATTGTAATTTAATTCTCATCGAATTTTAAGGTGTTGAAGGGGATGTTTTTTTTCTCACCAATCCATTCCACGTTGCATGGCAAAAATAATTATGTTGAGTAAAGTTCAGGTAAGGTTTAGGGGTTGATCTTTTTTCTTTCATTGTATGGTCAGTGCATTTACAGTTGGCACACACTTTAGGAAAATCTACTACAATATATGCAAAAGTACTTAAATGTACATAAAATATACTCCATATTGAAATGCTAACCTAGCTTGGGTAAAAAAGATAATGTGTTGATGTGGCATTTTACCTCTCTCCAGTATGAACTTGTGAAAATTTAAGGCAACTTGTCTTGTTTTGTTTTATTGGTAATTGTTAACTGCTGTATTTGTTGCTTTGATAGTAGTTTTATAATTGTGTTAAAGCTGGATATGTTAAAATGAAAAATAAAGATACTTCTGTATAACCTGTTGAAAGACAGAATGAATATTAAGAAGTCCAGGAGCTTAGAAGACTTTAATGCAAAATGAAAGTTCTATTCATTGAAATTAATGAATTATTTTAAAGAACTAAAATAGGAAGTGGTGTGTGTAGTTTACAATACATAAAGATTCACATGCACATAAACTGATTAATAACAAAGAATACCAATACTAGAGTTTAGATTTTATATTTTCTTTGACCTTCCTTTCTTGCTACCATTTCAAAATATAAGTAGTTAAATAATCTTATTCAAGCATTGATTAAACACTTTAACCCTAAGAGACAGTACACCTTGATGTTATAATACATACAGATACTGTGGTGTTGAGAACATGTTTTGAGATTTCAGATACCATTGATTACTAAAAATCATTTGAATTTGGGTGTTTTGTAATTTTCGTGGAAATATGTCCATTTGGCCTTGTCCCTTAAGTTGGACTTACAATGATGAATTGTGTTCTATTAGGCGAAAAGATTCAAAATAGGAGGTTAAATTTTGCTTCATCACTGTCTGGGAGAATTTGGGGTTCTGAGCAAACAAAGATCTTTTTTTTTTGCTGAGGAAGAGAGATTTTTTCTGTCACAGCTGCTGGATGCCACACACTGACCCATGTAAAACGTGAAGTAGCTGGGTTTGTCATAATAATGACATTGAATTATGGCATAAAAGATATAATTTAATAGAATGGAATGAAGGTTTGAAGATTCTTAAAAATTTAGATTTTAAATTATTTATAGAAATGTGAAAAATACTCGGTTCAGAAATTGCAAGTATATTACAGCAAAAGTTTTTCATAATTTTGGCATATATAATAAAAGAGGATAGTAACATTAAGAAGTGTTTCTGGAATTTGCTTTTATTGATTTG